GGCGCAGGATAGAGCAGGGTTTAGGGCTGTTGTGCATAGGGTCGCTATGAGTCGGAAACGACTCGACGGCACATAACAACAACAACAACAACAGTATCTTTATTATTTTGCTTGCAAAGTTTGCATTATTGAAAACTTGAGATAACAATAAATCTGGTCAAAAGTTGAAATATATACCTCTTATAGCGAAAAGTTATTATACTTTTTTTAAGGAAGTATTTTTTTTTCATAGTAGAAAAGGAAAAGGGGGGGGATCCCAACCAAACTCATCTAATAGCTTGTAGAATAAATTTTAAACCAATTTGTATTAAAATTGGGTTTTTTTAAAAAAACACACTTGATTGCCTTAGTCCTGCACATTGTTATAGATGACTACTTCTGTCTTGGACGGTTGCTCTCTGTGGGTCTCGATCTCCGTCTCACTTATCTGTCTGACTGCTCCTGTGTCTAGAGGGTTTGTAAGTCCTGGAGACTGTGCTAATACTTTACAGTTAGAACATTGTTCTGTATTATTGAGTTCTTCATTTAGGTGCATGCATTTTGTCCAAGAGCGATCATTTACTTCTTTTTTTTGAGGATGCAGCTCTTGTAGTTCCACCTCTGTACATTCTACAAGTGCCAGCTTGTGTTGTCAAAACTGTGGGTCAGCCAGACAGACTAGAAACTGTTTCCTCCTCCTTAGTGTTATGTGTGCTTTTTAAAACATGTGTCACTCCTTTGTCCGGTAGAACTTTATGAGTCAAGGATTTGGCCAACAGTCATTAAAACTTTCTCATTTGTAATCTCTTGATCTTATAAAATCCCATTATAGATAAAAGAAAAATAAAGTTGAACAGAAAAAAAAATTCTGATGAACAAAAATGAATTTCAGCATAGCTTCAGAAACTCCCAGTCAGTACATTTCAGCATTGTATCTGGGATGCTACTTGAAAGGATGGCTGTTCGACTCTACAGACTGCTCTGAGGGACTAAGATGGACTGTCTCCCGCCATATAGATTTCCACCTTGGAAACTCAGCAGAGGGTTGCTCTGAATTGGAACCGACTTGATGACAGTGTATTGGTTCCCTTCAACCACCAACTTTTCTTCTCCTGCGCAGAGACTTCACTAGCACGGGACTTAAAATCCCTTAGGAGTAAAATAACTTGAAAGGGTTACAGCCTTTAGTACGACCATAAACTAAACAAAGTCCCAGCATCATACCACTATTTACATTAGCAATTCTAGGGTTATACAATTAATTTTTCTGGATTTATCCTTTTTTCTCCCTTTCATTTCAATTAGATGGTCAGGAATCCTATTTGTCTTATAATAGACAAAATATATATGTTTTGTGGCATTTGTTTTCACGCCCTTCACTCTTCTAAATATTGAATATGTTTATTGATTTTATGACTAAAGAGATTGAAAACCCAACCTTTCTGTAAACTTTCGTTAAAATTACAACTTATAAAGAGAGAAGGGGTGGGGGAGGGGAGAAAGAGAAGGAGATGACTCTTATGTCACCACTTTATCCCAAAGATTGTAGATAGATCAACTTGGATGCCTGAGATGGGAAAAGGCTTAGATGTTCTTTCTCAGTAGGTATATCTCACTGTCTCTCGCTTTTTTTGCCCCTTTTTCACAATTATGTAGATTTCCTTAGGCTCAGTCTACCTACTGTTAACCTCACATCTCAGTTCCATCCCTTCCAGTAGTTGGGGGTACACATCTGAGGCCTAGATTTCTTCTGCCCCTTGTGTGTGTATCAAAATTATATTGTAAAAATAGCTGTTTACCTGTATCTATAAACTTAAATACTGTCCCCATCTTCGTGTTAATTTGAGGCTCAGTGAACAGAACCTTCAGTTATACACTAAACATGACACCTTCTCTTGAAAAAGTAGAGATTCAGTGCTTAACTGATCAATGAAACAGTGGATATAGACTAAGAGCTATTATTGTTGTTGTTTATTGTACAGTGGGAACAAACTCACAGCTGACTCTATAGTGAGTTTTCCCACAGGAGGCGATTTCCCCTCATTCTCCCAAGAAGCAGCTGGTGGATTTGAACTGAGTGCCTTTTACCATTAGGACATCAGAGCTCCCCAGATAAATAGCTAGGAAAGTTAATTTCTTTGTGACTTTCTCCCTCATTCTCAACAAATACCGAGTCATTTCTGTTTTGCTTAATTTTGGTTAAATTAAATCTGATTTCAAGATCTTAATGCAAAGTCCAGACCTTGAAGCAACATTTTCATAGAAGTTACCATAGTTTACTGTCTCTTGCCAGGTCACTGAGGGACAAAGGGAGGGAAGGAGAGGGCCCTGCCCTGCTCCTGTGAGCGTGTATTCCTACATCAGGCTGCTGCTCAGGGCGGTCCCCTGCCCTGCTCCTGTGAGCGTGTATTCCTACATCAGGCTGCTGCTGTGGTTTAGTGTTATTGAGTTGACTACAACTCATAGTGACCTTTGAAACAACAGATCTGCCTAGCTTGCACCGGCCTCACAATCTCCAACAGACTCGAGCCCGTTGTTCAAGTTACTGTGCTGAGGGTCAGTCACTAGCTTGTTGAGGATCTTTTATTTGTCTGACTCTCCACCTTTCACAGCATAATGTCTTCTCATAAGGACTGGCCCCTTCTGATAACATGCAAAAATAGATGAGACAAAATTTCACCATCCTTTCCTCTAAGGAGCCAGATTGCACTTCCTCAAAGATGTGTTTGCTCTTTTTGGTGGTCCGTGAGTCTTTGCCAACCTGCATTTCAAAGGCCCCGATTCTTTGGGTATCTTTATTCATTGTCCAACCTTTGGATTCATAGGAAGCAACTGAAAAATACTGTGGTATTTTCAAACACACCAAAGTCTTTAAGCTGATATCACTGCTCTTTAGATCTTTGGAGGGGTCCTTGGGCAGATCTTCCCAGTGCAACAAGACTTTTGATTTCTTGACTGCTGCTGCCATGAATGTTGATTGTGGATTCAAGTAAAATGAAATTGTTGACAACTTCAATTTTTTCTCCATCTATCATGATGTTGGCTCTCGGTGCAGTGGTGTCAATTTTTGTTTTCTTGCTATTGAGAAGTAATCCATATTGGAGGCTGTAGTGTTTGATCTTCTGCAATAAGTGTTTTAAGTCCCTCTCTCTTTGTGCAAGCAAGGTCATGTCATCTGCATTATGCAAGTTGTTGAGGAGTCTTCCTCAAATCTTGATGCTGTGTTCTTCTAAACCAACTTCTTGAATGATTTTCTCAGCAGACTAACTGAATGCAGATGGAGGAAGGATGCAATCTTGATGCACACTTCTCTCGATTTTAAACTGTGTAGTGTTCCCTTGCTTTGTTCAGGCATTTGCTTCTTGTTCTATAGGTAGCTTTCACATGAGCACAATTAAGCATTCTGGGATCAAATTCTTCTCGAGAAATTTAAAATGCAGCTACATCAGGCAGAAAGAGTGAAACTCTCTAGTAGCTGGTTTGGTATTGTTAGTTGGTTATTGTTTTTTTCTTTTTTATAGAGCAAATGAAAATGTATTTTCTCTTTTCCTTACTGTTACAAGTACACCTTTTATTCCTTCTTTTCATTTACTCCTTTTTTAAAAAAGTCTCTACCTTCCAAATACAAAATACTAACAGCAATTTCAGCTTAATCTAAGAGATGGGTAAAGGAGGACAGGACTTATCTACATGTCACTTAGAGAGCACGAGTGTGGATTCTTTCCTTAGTGAGACGGATTCACCTGGATACAGCCACAACGCTCAGCACATCGCTGTGGTCGCCCGTGAGTTTTCCAGCCACTCCTCAGAGGAAGAGGACCGAAGTTGGAAGCCTGAAAGTAAAGAGAAGGTAGTCTGCTCATTCTCAAGATCTCAGCTTTAATGAGACCACAGTGCAGCCAGTTGTGCTAACTAAGTATGCTTGAGAAGAGTCGTGTCTTTGTGGAGAATTATGCCACACTCTCTGCTCCATTGCCCAGCAGCCGATTCTTTAGGATAGGTCTTTAGTGGAAACTGCTTGAAGATCGGGCCGTACATGCAGCAAATAGGATTTGGGTTAAATGGTGACATTTGTTTCCAAAAGCATATCGGTGGAAGCCAAGCTTTCAGAGCATGTGTTCATTAAAGGTTTGAAGTAGAGTGGGAAGCAGTAAATAAATAATAATAAAAAAGGCCAGTGGGTTCTCTTGTGTGATGGGCTTTTGTTCTTATGAATTGGAGACATTCTCTGAAAAGTTTCAAAAAGAGTTTGGGGAGAATATATTTGCTTTGATCCAACATGTGGAGTGTTCCTTGCTACAAATGCCCTTTAATTTAGAAGCACTGTTGAAAAGTCTGTTTGAAAGTACATAAAAATGTAATATGTAAATAAGTTCTAATTAGTTATTCCAATTATCTCTACTTTGCAGCTCTGTTTCTCTGCCCATAATGTGGCCTGTCAGAGTCCGGCTTTGGCTCCCTCCAAAAAATGTGTTTTTGCCACAGTCATTAGTAAGAAAACACATTTTCTCCCCTCCTCCTGTTGTAAACTTCACAATGATAAAGTGAAATCCCAGATTGTGTATCTTTATGAAGAAGTGTTTCAGAAAGTCTTAGTCATGATTTGCTTGTATGAAATTAAAGAAGGTACTCTTGCAGTTAATTGAAAGAACGGATGTTCCCTTCCTCAAATAATGGAATTGTTTTTTGGGAAATGAATCTCCATAAGACTTTTGTTTAACTTGAAAGTTGTGTAGCATTGCTCGATGGTGTTGTAATGACAACAATTATAGAATCTTGTTTTTCTTGCCCTCAACAGGTTGCCAGAGATCCATAGGCCTTTCCAACGGGAAGGCTAAGGTGTGCAATTACAGTGGCTGGTACTACTGCAGCAGCTGCCATGTGGACGACAGCTTCCTCATCCCAGCTCGCATAGTCCACAACTGGGATACTTCAAAATACAAGGTGGGTATAAAAATGGAGAGACCTCATTGCAATGCAAGCTTCCCTGAGTTTCTAGGCAGACTATAAAAAAATGACATAAAACATTCATTAGCAAACTTAATTCAGTTTCCAGAAAAGCTGCAATATCTTATCTGTTGTCGTTGTGTACCATTGTGTCAGAACTGACTCAGAGCTGACCCTCCAATGGGTTTTTAGAGGCAGTTAATCACACAGGAGGACATTACTTGTCCTTCTCTGGAGGCGCAACTGGATTCAAACCATGTGCCTTTGGCTTTGCAGCACAGCTTCTTATCACTAGGCCACCAAAGCTCCCTGTATCTTGTCTGTTGTTGTTATATGCTGTTGTGTAGACCCCAGCTCATAGTGACCCAGTGTACAACTGCTCTGAACCCTGCTCTATCCTAAGCCAATTTCATTATCTCTGACACACCTACCCTAGTTACCCCAATCACTAAATCAATCCATCTCATTCAGAGTCTTCCTCTCTTGCACTGTCCCTCCCAAGCATGAGGTCCCTCTCCAAGGACTGGTGCCTCCTTGCAACATGCCCAAAGTATGGCAGATGCAGCTCTGGAATCCTTGCTTCCAAGGAGCAGCCTGGTTTCACCCACTTCAAGATGGTCCTATTTGTTCTCTTAGCTTGTCTAATACTACTTAAATATCATCTCATAGCTTAAACCCTTCTTAATTATGTCTCTTGTTAATTTCCTATTTTAAGATAATATAGATCAGTTGTTTTTCTTTCAGTTATGTTCAAACTTTATTAAAGTTGAGTTCAAAGGGATAAAAAGATTGACCTGCCACTAAAGTTGGATACATGAGATGGCTTTGTAGAATGAACCTAATATCAATAATTTTTTTCCATTTCTTTAGGTCTTATACTGTGATACATCAGTTTTTAATTAACTGCACATAGTATGAGAATTTGATAGAGCGAAGCCTCTTTTATTATTTGTTTTAGATTTAATATCATCTCTAACATTACAACATCTTGAGAGAGTAAAAATGGGAATATAATACCTGCCTGAGTGTGCTGGTGGTCAGTGAAGGGGAGGATTTCTACAATTCAAGTTATTTCTTACAAAAGAGCACTCCTGCTCATATGGAAGTCAGCCTTCCAGTAGTCCTAGCCCTATGGAACTGGAACCATGAAAGAAATTATAAAGACTTCTGGGCAAGGGTCCTCTAACAGAGCCCTGGTGCACTCAGCTACCCTCAGACCTTCCTGCAGACCCTGGCTTATAAAATCAGGCAGAAAATGAGAAACATAGATTCATGCTAACATCTTTGCAAAGTAACTGCTACCAACCAAGGAGGACATCCAAGGAACTCAAAGAGAAGACTGAGCAGCTGTAAATACACAAACTAATGAAAAAGGAAAGGGAGGTAGAGCATTGTAGCGTTCCAGTTTAAGAGAGAAGAGTAAGAACCAGCAAAGAGCCGACTGAGTGGCCATTGAGGTAGAAGCAATCAGGTGTCTGACAAGCCAAGTGAAGATCAATTGTGACAGATGCTGATAGGTCAAATGAAATGAGGACTGAAAATGAACCATTTGATTTAGTTCTGTGGAGGTAATTAGCGACCTTAATGAGAGCAGTCTGAAGTGGTGGGAGCAAAGGTCCAACTGGAGTGGGTTCAGCAAGAAATAGGAAGAGAGAAATGAGAGACAAGAAGAGACAATTCTTTTGAGAAGATTTTCTGTGAAGAGACAGAGAAACGAAAAAGAACTAGAGAGAAAGTGAGGGTCAAGTTAGGTTTGATTTTTTTTTCCTTAATGAAAGAAATAACAGCCTGTTTTTAGTTTAATAGGAAAGATTTAGGAGAGAGGTAAGAATTTCTAAATGGTGTGGCTGAGTAGATGTGAAGGATGAGATCTTGATGCAATTGGAGGGTCGGCCTTTTTTTGGAACAGAGAATGGGAGGAAAGGCAGTGTTGTGAACACAGGTGCAACTGGCAAGTGCTTGTGCCAGGAGCTGTTCTGTATACTTCAGCAGGTTTCAACAGGTATTTGCTTAATATCTGTGATCCTAAAGTAAATAAAAGCCTAGCCTCGATCAGCTTGCTTCTGTACGTTTTCATAGAGAAAACTGAGGTCGTTCTATCAACGTGTTTGCATGTTCTTGCTATTTTCTTTTCCAGTTGCAGAAGATGCATCTTCCCTCTTAAGAAAGTTATATTCTTTCTGTATCTTCTCTTAGCTCTTGTTCCACTGGATTTTGAGATTTGACCAAATGAACCAGATCCTCCTCAAATTCTCCTGCCTTGACTTTGATGACACAAGCTCTGATTCTCTTCTTCAAACCCCTCAGTTGTTTTTTCTGCTTCCTTCCTTCTCCTGCCTACACATTACATAATAGGATTCCCTAAGCTCTGTTGGCCTTGTGGCGAGAAACTGCACTTCAATCCCGAAGGCACATGGTTCAGATCTACCAGCTGCTCTACGAGAGAAGGATGGGCAGTCTCCTCCTCTGTATTTAACTGTCTCTGAAAACCTGTGGGAGGGTCAGCTGTAGGTTGGTTCCGACTCGACGGTCCACAACAACTACAAGGTTCATACTGAACTTTTCTTTCCCCACTTTATACTCCTTTGATTAGCTTTTCTTCCTCCCTGTTACAATACTGTCAGGACTCACCAGGCAGATGATGCCCATTCAGATCTCCACCTTCAGTTTGGATACTGAAATCCAGATCCGTTTATTAAACTACCTAGTAAGTACTTCAACTTGAGTTTCAACTAGGTCTGTTTAAGATGCGTGGGCTGTTGTTGTTTGGTGCCATTGAATCAACTACAGCTCGTAGCTTCTCTGAACCAGATTTGACCTTTGTCCTATCCTGCACCATCCTTTATTGTGTCTGATGTGCTTCAGCCTATTTTTATATCACTACATCAGTCCTTTGGAAGGAGGAGCGGCATCCACTTCCGTAATAGCTTGCCTCTGGAAACCCTATGAACCTGGAGAGAGGAAGAAAGGCGCCCAAGCGTCAAGGACTCTCCTTCATAGGGTCGCTATGAGTCACCTACAACTTGACGGCACTTAACAACAACAACAACATGTCAGTCCTTACTATGCATCAGAAAACTGGACAGTGACAAGGAAGAATCGAAGGAGAATTGATGTCTTTGAGCTATGGTGCTGGAGAAGAGTGTTGAGTATACCATGGACGGCTAATAGAATAAACAAGTTTCGTCCTGGAGAGGGTGAATCCAGGCTGCTCCTTAGAGGCAAGTGTTCTGAAGCTCTGTCTGACATACTTTGGACATGTTACAAGGCTGGGTGTCCGTGGAGAGGGATGTCACGTTTGAGAGGGTGGATGGAAAGTGCTGGAGAGGAAGTCTTGATGAGGTAAACTGGGGTAATGGGGATAGATGTGTTGGAGACAATAAGATTGGAACAGGATTGAGCAGGGTTTAGAGCTCTTCCACATTGGATTGCTATGAGTAGCAGAGGACTCAATGGCATATAACCACAACAGTGTCGACCCATCATGTTGAGATCATCCTCTCTTTCTTTGACCCGCCACCTTTCCTAGTATGATGGCTTTTCCCAAGGACTAGCCCCTCTTGAAAAAAGAGCTACATTGGCCTAGTGGAAAGGAAGTTATGCTACCAAGCCAAAGGTGGGTGATTTTCATCTGCAGCTCTCAGCAAGGTTCAAATTGTCTTCCTGTCAAACATTCTTCTAGGTGGGATAGCACTGGTCTGTGCGTTGCTGTACAGAGGTAACTCGTGGTTGCTGTGATGTTGAAGACCGTGACAGTGATATGCCAGTTGTGGTAATGGGTACCCATGGTGGACAGTGTTGGCTGGAGCTTCCCAACTAAATCAAGCCTGGAAGCAGGAGTAGCATCCACTTCCGAAATGGCTTGCCTCTGGAAACTCTATGTACGAACAGTGCTCAGGCCGTTTGTTCATAGGGTCACTATGAGTCGTCTACGACTCGACGGCACCAAACAGCAACAACAGCCTCTCTTGATGAAATGCCAAAGTATGAAATGTCATCATCCTTTCCTCTAAGGATTGTACTTATTCCAACACAGACTTGTTTATTTTTTTGGCAGTCCCGATGGGGTATTCAGCATCTTTCTCCAACATCACAGTTCAGAGACCTCAATTCTTCTGTCATCTTTCTTCATTGTCCAATTTTCAGAGGCCGAGGAAGCTATTGAAAAGATCATGAATTGCGTCAGAGCAACCTTAGGCTTTAGACTGACATCATTGGTGTGTGGATGACAGTTCAGTTCTGACTCATGGTCACCCAAGTGTGCAGAGTTGCACTGCCCTATAGAATTTTCCAGGCTGTAGCCTTTCAGATGCAGCTTGCTAGGTTTGCCTTCTGGGGTACCGCTGGGTGAGTTTAAACCCACTTAGGACCTGCATTTGAGCACTTGATCATTTGTATGACCAAGGGACTTCTGTGGATTGGCTGTATACTTTGTACAATGGTCAGGCTTTGTGTCAGTAAATTACAAGAATTTGGTAAACCTAGGAATCTAACCTCCTCTGGAGTGGCAGCGTAGGCTTAAGATGCTGATACGATCCTATGTCCTGCCGTGTAATCGAGTTCTCTTTCCTGATCTAAGATCTACTGCTTTCCTGGCTTGTATAATACTTAAAGGAAAAGAAGAAAAGAAAAAGCCCTACCATCTTATTTTATCTTGGCTAATTTTTTTACTCTGTCTTAGTCTTTTTTTTTTTAATTTTGTGTGCATGTACCATCAAATCAGATCTGACTGGTACAGGAGGATATTGCTACTCCTTCTCCGGCAGAGCATCTGGTGGATTCGAACCGTGTACCTCTGGGATTGCAGTGCAGCTTCTTGCCACTAGGCCACCAGAGCTCCCCTACTGTCTTAGTCTTAAGTGTTTTAACTTTAGAATGGAGATAGGAATATATTTACTTCTGAAGGTTGCTGTCTATTTAAATTGATGGATGGTCCACCGAAAGTACAGCAGAGTGGCACACAGTAAGAACTCAGGGAAAGGGTCCGTCTTACTGTG